AAAATTAAGTCTACCTTAAAGGAGCAGTGTGTAGGATTTAGTGGCAACTAGCAGTGAGGACTGCAGATTTCAACCAGCTGAAACTCCTCCCATGTGCCAAGCGTGAGCTTCCTTTGGTGTTCATTGTATGTTCAGGTTTTTTTATTGGGAGTAGAATTATCCGCAGAGGTCTCTTCCTCTCCAAAACAAACAAACCAGGTGATTATAACTGGTAAAAACACTGAATAAAGTAGTTTCACATTACAAATCGATGTTTCTCTGACACTGTTCAGCTCAACGCAGATGGGCTGCTAACCCCCCTGCTAATGTGTGCTCACCTTTTTTCTCTGATAAATTAAGATCTAAATGCTCAGGAGGTATTTAGCAGGAGCTGAATTATCTGCAGGGGCCTCTTCCTCTCCAAAACAAACGAACCTGGTGATTTAAACCAGTTAAAACACGGAATAAAGCACTTTCATGTTAAAAATCTGTGTTTTTTCAATGCTGTTTTGCTCGTCGCAGAGGGGCTGCTAACTATGGTGGCAGATGCAAAAACACGAATGGCCCTATCTAGAGCCAGTGTTTGGTTTGTCTGTTCTGGGGTACCATAGAAACATGGTGGACTCCATAGATGAGGACCCACTCCCTATGTACATATGAACGACTCACTCTAAGATAACAAATTAATAAACGTATTATATTCAATTTCTGCTAATATATCCTCCTAAATCCTTTGCACTGGACCTTTAAAGTCCAGCTAATGAATGGAGGACTTTTTCATGCGCTCTTGAAAAGTTGCTTGTGTTAGCATAGTGCTAAAAAGCCTCTGCAGACACATAACCTGGCAACAGCTCAATGTGAGAGGCTACATATAAAGTGATGGGTGGTTGTTGCGACATGTCTTTTGAGGTGACTTCAATAGAATCATTGAGCACATCAAGTTGAGTCATTAGCGTGAGGTGATTTGGCAGGTGGCCAAAACCCCGGGGTAACCATCGGAAACCAATTAATATCCCTAGCGGAGGTATCATGCTTCTGGCACAATGCCCACAGGGAAAATCAACTCGCTGATTACACTGCTGTAAACTGCTGCTGCAGTGTGTATGTGTGTGTGCGCGTGTGCATGGTTGTGTGTTACAAATCATTTCCCTGCTCAACATGCGACAACATGAGAAGCCACAGGTGTGCATTTGTTTCAAAGCCACATCAGGTGCTCATGCACTGTATCCAGTCATGGTTCGGGTTGTGTTTCTGCTCATCGTGTGTGCTTTTGAAAGATGCAGGCGCAACTATTCATTTGTAATAAGTATGTTGATGCAGTATAATTGGTTCATTCAGCGAACATGAGCATTGAGTGCAATCATGTGTAACATCCACTCTGTTTGAATTACAGAGTGGATGTAAAGATGGAGCTGATAATGGAAAGAAAATCTAATGTCAACCACAAAGCTGGTGTCAGCTATCAGGAACTGCAACATTATATATCAGAATATAAGCTTAGTACAGCTCAGTTTTTTTTCTGTGTGGGCAGGACTTTCTGTCCCTGAATCCCTCTGGGAGAAATTTGTCTTTTCTTTTGCCTCCATCAACAGAGAGGACAGAGGTCATGGTTGGCTAGAGAGCAGCATCTAAGGAGTTGGTAGGGCTTCATCGTCTTGGCAAACACTGTGAACTGTTGAAAGTTTTGGTAAAAGGATGGTCTCTCTAATAAGTGCGCTACATTAGCATGCCGTCATCTTTCATCTGCAGGAAACTCATTAAGTGCCTGCAATGATATCCACCTCCCTTCATCTCACCACTCCCTTTAATGAATTAAAAAAAAGAATAATATACGTCACTTTAGCCTAAGAAATGTATGTCTGCAGAGATCAGCTGAACACCTGAGCTGCAACATATGAAAACAATTACTGGAGCAAAGCAGGATACCAATGGTGATACGTCAGTGCCAAAGTCCGTCTTTGGAGCTCTTCAATATCTGTCATGTAGCTGTCAATAGACAAATGAAGATGAACTGTCCGTGGTGCTGAAACCACCACCCAAGTCGACTTCAGCCTCTAATAAATATGCTACAAATTTTACTGTGACTGGGCCCAGAGTACAAGAACAAGCAGGGAGTTAAGAAGCCACTTTAGACTTTCTACTAGCTTGAAAACGACTATCAGATATATCCAGTTCTGCTATATATATGTTTCTCACTGAATCAGCTTCAAAATTCTTCTGCTGGTCCATAAATAACTGGATGGTTTAGGTCCAAGATACTTGTCAGATCTCTTGACCAGGTAAGACCCTGGTTTGGGGTTACTGGTTGCTCCCAGAGTCAAAACTAAGCGTGGCGATGCTTTTAGCTTCTATGCTGCTCATATGTGGAATAAACTGCCAGAAGAGCTAAGACTTGAGACCATGCTGATTGCTTTCAAATCCAATCTAAAGACCTTCCTATTTACCATTGCTTTTGATGAATATTCCTTAAATCAAACTGATTTAACTGTTTTATTGTTTTTATCATTTGTTTCTTGTGCTTTTACCTGTGTAATCTGTAAAACACTTTGGGATCCCTTTGGGTATGAAATGTGCATGGATGGATTACTGAACAGGCCTACTGGGCACCAGCCTAGGAACCAAGTGTCAGAGGCTGCCCTACTAGCTTTTGCCTGCAAAATGTCATCCAAATTACCACGTACTGACCAGGAAGAGACTCAAAATGACCACGAAGAGCCGCAAAGGAACTGCAACGAGACACAAAATAACTACAGAAAGGGACAAACACAAAGAGACACATGATGACCAAAAAATTACCTCAAAGAGACATAAAAGGGACTACAAAGATGAGCAAAGTCACCTCAAAGAGACACAGAATGATGCATTATGACAGCAAAGACACGCAAAACACCACAAAAAGGAGGTGGAACCACCACAAAGTCTGTTCGCCTTGCTGCCATGTAGGAAAGGTGGTGGGGCCTTTTGCGTATCTGTGCCCAGGAGCCCATTGTCTCTTAGTCCACCCCTGGAAATGTGCTTTATAAATATATTTTCCTTGCCAACTGATCTGGAGAAATCTACTGTACTGTTTTGCTTTGACTTGAACAGTAAAGCCACGAGTCAAGTTTGTACCTCTGACAAACTGTGCATCTATAACCCTGTAATGCAGGATGTTGTGCACTGTGGTCTCACACTGTAAACTCACACTGAAGCTGAAACACCTTCTGCTGTGACATTTGATTTCATTTATTAGACTTTTGGATGAGATTAAGGACCAGTCACCTACAAGTCAGTGGTAATAACTTCAGAATGACTCTGGTCATCTCATGCGGAGCTGCAGGGCCACCTAATCTTAACAAGAATGTTATGTTTTCCCATGAAAAGCAACATCAAACATAAAGATGTACTTGATTCCTCAAGTTCTTCTACTCTATGTGATGACGGCGATGATGATAATCTCCATTACTCCTGTGGACAACTTGGACTGAAAGGCTCTTTCTGATAATAACAGATAAAGATGACATCATGGCAATCAAGGTAACTGTGATCTGTCTTACAGACTGTACACACACACACCTGCCCTTCATGATGATGCCATTCTGTTTATCATCAAACTACGCTTCTGCAGGTAACATCCAACCTACGATTACTTGGAGCAAACTGTTGGTGAATGTGTGCCTCGCTGCGACACAGATGCACACACACTTACATACATAGGCTACACACACACATACACCATCGCCACCCCTCTCCTCATCCCCTGTTGCTATGGAACCTGTCGCCAAGGCAGAGGTATGTGGTTGTGATGGAAGTGGTGGACGAAGACGACGACGATGATGATGATGATGGCAGTGAGGTTGATAATGGTGATCGGATAAATAGCCCTCTTTGTTGAATTACAAGCTCCGGCCGGCCATCAAGCAAAAGCGTTGCTGGGCTTTTTTGCTCTCTGCAACGTGGGTGGAAGGAGCGACGCGTAATACTGCGCAATGCAAACAGACCCTTTCCTCACCGTCAAACAAACCACAGCCCTGGATGTCGGCTCACTCTTTATTTATTTTTAAATGTTTTGCTTTTTGGCCAACACTTTAAAAAAGTCGTCACGTTAAACTTCAGTCGTGTCTCAGGCGAAACAGCCCACTGTCCTCCGCTGCCGTCCCCCCCGAAATAGCACATCATCAACCCAATTCTCAGCAGACAAATAAGTCCTGCAGGCCCTCCTACTGCCACCTGTCATCTCTATGCGATTCCTCTCTCGCGCGCGCTGCTATTAAGGAGCCCTGCAGACACGAAAACTTGGATTAAAACGTGACAAATGCAACTATTGATTATAGGAGATGGGAGGATCGATGGTGATCGAGCGCGCGTATCGGTGGGCGCTGCTCATCTCCTGCTCCTTAGCGACCACTGTGTGTTCATTTCTGACATATGGCCAGAGCTATATGTGCAGTTTTCCACAATAAATAAATAAATAAAAATTAAAAAGCCCTGGGGAGGCAGGATCTGCCAGATAATTTGTCCACACACGCTTTTGCTGTCATTTTCTGCTGTCTAAAGCAATAACTCCCCGAGTACAACTGCCTGTAGGCTAGATATGACCACAGCCCACCTATTATGCCACAGTTCACCCATGGACAGGCCTGTCAAACCTACAAGTGTGGACTAAACCAAGCAAGCAAAAAAGGCCTCATCCATATCTGCTACCTGCAGCCCTGTTGCGTGATTATGGCACAAGTTCACTCTGTGCACAAACTGCACATAGCAGACCAAATAAACAAAACTGCACACAGAGGGAAAGTGGAGGAACTGCATCTGTCCATCTGTTGAAAACGAGGAGAGCTAACACCCCTTTTCCTTTTTTCCCCCTCCACCTCCCTCCCTTCTCTCCACCTCCTCCTCCTCGTTCCCCATCCCATCCCCATTTCGAGATCATCATACCTCTCTTACTCCCTCCCTCCCTCCCTCGTTCCCTCACTCCCTTCCCTCTCTCATGCACAGTTACAAGATGTTTGCCAGTTATAAATAAAAAAGACACCACATACCTTGATGGTTCTCAAGGGTGTCCTCCGGGATGTACATGTTTTTGCTTTCATTTACCATAAATGTAGTCCGGCGTTATCCCTATAGGTGAATGGAAGAGACACGGAGAGGGGGAAAAAAGCTGGAGAGGCGGAGGGAAAATAACGAGGAAAAAAAGCCCCCCAAAAATAAAGAAATTAAAAGAGGGGAAAAAAGAAGAAAGAACTGTCTGGCACGGACAGTCTTGGGTATTCCGTTATTTTTTGTTTATGGGGAGGGTTTCTTCGGATGGAGTGAATATTACCTAATCCCCATGATGGAGGTGAAGGCGAGAAAAAAGAGGGAGCTTTCGGCGGAACCGGTTGGGAAAACGCACCGGTGCATCTCTCGGTACATCCGGGCCCTAGGCGAGAAACATGAGACCAGCACCGCGTTCAATTCAATTCACACCTCGCTCTCCTTCTCTCCTGTTTCTTTCTCTCCTCTCCCTTGTTGTCTTGAAAGAAAAATAAGGTTTCAAAAGGTTACAAAGCACGGGCGCTGTCAGTGACGGTCGCAATGGAAGTGCGCAAAAGACGCATTCGTGCGCATCTTCAGCAGCGTGTCAAAATGTGAGAGGATGAAGAAGAGGAGGTGGAGGTGGTGGTGGAGGAAGAGAAGGAGGAGGAAGAGAAGAGGAGAAAAATTAGAAAATGAGAAGAGTGTAAATATTCCATCACGGGTAGCACGGGGTTAAATCTCCCAATAGGTTGTCGGTTATTCCACGTATCTATAGCAGAGTCCCCCCAAAAAACAGAAGCCAGGCCGTCCTGTCTCATCCGGAGACGGGTTGCTCTGTCCTGATCCAGTCCATGATGGTCCGGCGGTGTGTCTGTCAGTCAGTCTGTGTGCCTGTCTGTCTGCTTGCCTGCCCGCCTGTCTGTCTGTCTGCCTGTGTCTCACTGATCGGGAGTTAGAGCTCTCTCTTCTCTCTGCCTCTGCTGCCCCTGCAGCTCAGCTCTGCAGTGATACCGAGAGAGAGTCAGAGAGAGAGAGAGGGGTAGCCCCCCCTCCCCGCGCATGTAGACGCTTTGACTGTTTCCAGATGTGTGTGTGTGTGTGTGTGTGTGTGTGTGTGTGTGTGTGTGTGTGTGCCCCAGAGAGAAATAAGGAGGGAGGGAGACTGTACAGGCAACAGTGGAGAACCAGCGGCTGGTATCCAGATGATGATGATGATGGAGATGATGAAGACAAAGATGATGATGTTGATGAAGTGTGTGTGTGTGTGTGTGTGTGTGTGTGTGTGTAAGGAGACGAGAGCCTGGGAGAGCTCTCAACATTTTAAAGGAGTACTTCACCCACAGAACGGTCATTTGTACATCCATAACTCACCCTGTGTTACATTATTTAACCCATAAAGAAAACTTTGTCTTCCTCACAAGTTTGCACGGTGAGCAAAGAATCCAAAAACACAGAAAATTCTCGATTAACTGGAGCACAATGGGAGCTATGTTTAACAACAGCAAAACTCTATCAAACATTTTCTTACAAACTCGTGCAGTGAAATCCAGTCGAATGCTCAGTACTCCCCAAACATGCATTTTTGCAAAAACCTTACTATTTAAAACACTTCTATGTACAAGTAAAGTGTCTTGGCAAGGGCACTGAGCAGAGTTCAAGCACACGAGCTTGCCCAGGCATGCTACTCATATGTGGAAGTGTTATAAATTGTAAGGTTTTAGCAAAAAATGCATGTGATCTGGAAGCACTGAGCATTCAACTGGATAAATGAGACTTGGATTATACTGCACGAGTTGTGTGAGTTCTTGTTGTTAAGCATGGCTCCCATTTTGTTCCAGTTAATCAAGAATTTTCTCTGTTTTTGGATTCTTCGTTCACCGTGCAAACATGCGAGAAACCCTGTCTTCTAGAAATTACATTTGTATGGTAGCTTTGCAGAAATGTAACCGCTGCCTGTATTATGTTCAGAGTAGTTTCTTTGAGGTAAGACATGGACAGACATAGAAGGTTGGTAGTTGCATTCAGATTCTTTTCTTAGGTTTAGGTGACAAAAGCACTTTGGTTGAGTTAAGGGAAAGACTTTGGTTTCGGTTACATTTTTCAGATGAATGCAAGAGCAAAGACTCCTGTCCTGGGTTTAGACAACAAATGCACTTTGGGTAAGGGCCGAGTAAAATTGGGATTTCAGTTAAATGTTAACAAAAAAGTAATAAAAGCATAATGGAAAGCACTGTGGTGCAGTGGTTAGCATTGTTGCCTCACAGTAAGAGAATTCCTGTTTCGAACCCAGGGTGTGGGAACCCTTTTGTGTGGAATACACATGTTCTCCCCGTGTCAGCCTGGGTTTTCTCCAGGTACTCCTGCTTCCTCCCACAGTCCAAAGACACACAGGGTAGCTTAATTGGTGGCTCTAAATTGTCCGTAGGTGTAAATGGTTGTCTGTCTCTATGTGTCAGCCCTGCAATAGTCTGGCGATCTGTCAGGGGTGTACCCTGCCTCTCGCCCAATGTCAGCTGGGATAGGCTCCAGCACCCTGTGACCCCCAACAGGATAAGCAGTTACGGAAAATGAATGAATGAAATTTTGCTGATACATTTAGTTTCACATTTTTGCAACTTGCCAGATACGTTTATGAGCAACCTTTCCTTATTTTGTTGACGGAAAATGTGATTTGCCTGGCATTACATTGAACTCAAAAACGTATTTTCTGTTTTAAATTAGCTGAATAAAAGCGGAATTTCTAGGAAACAGGGCTGATCGGATAAGACTGGGATTATACTGCACGCTGTGTGAGAGTTTGTGAACAGATGTTTTGGTATAGTTTTACTGTTGTTAAATGGGGTCCCCATTTTACCCCAATTCAACAAGAATTTTTTCTGGTTTTTGCATTTTCATTCATGGCGCACGCATGTGAGGAAAAACAAAGATTTCTTCCCGAATTCAGGGTAACAGTAGACTAATTGAAATACAGATGTTCATTTCGTGAACCTGCATGTCAGACAGGAGCAGGAGGAAATAAAGAGAAAGTGTGCCTGTGTGTGTGTGTGTGTGTGTGTGTGTGTGTGTGTGCGAGAGAGTGAGAAGGTTGGAGGAGGGACAATGATCCATAGCAGGCTCAAGCCTTGCATAGACTCTAATTTCTGCAAGAGGAACCAGAGATTGGAGATGTTGTACCTACATCTGATTCGCCCATCGTCCCTACACATCTGGACTGCTTCAGACCTGTTCTTTTCTTTGGCCAAGGCTGTGTTTACACACACACACAGTAAAAATCTGTTTTTTCAGCTCTTTTATGAGTCAAGCTCTGATCTTTTCATGGCTCTCCTAAACAGAAAGAAACCGCAAGGAAGCGGATTTTCAGATCTCTGGATGCTGTGTAAATACAGACTCAAATCTCATGAAGTAGACGGGTTCAGGAAGGTCGCCGCACAAAGACTGAACCTTTTTTATCTAGAGGACAATGAAATGATTTTTAGAATTCAATTATGTTTTTCTTCTGTTTGCCCTCGGGACAGTGAAGTTTGTTTCGACATCATTCTCCATGGCCAGCAACAAATTGGTCCTGGCCCCTCAAGCACACAAAGTCATTTTCTGGAGACATGGGTCCATTTTCTTAGGTAACACAACAATGAAATGGAACTCATTTGGGAGTCAAATGTCAAACACAGTCAACAACATCAGCTCTTAACTAAATAGCTCTGGACCAGGCTTTGATGCCACTGAGTCAGCTTGGCTCTAAAGCTCCTGCTGAGGCTTTTGGACAGAGCTACTCGCGCAAAAATACAAGTCGGTTCTTAAATTGAGCTGTTTTCTTAAAAGCTCTCCACAGGCAGCTTGATATAAAAGATAAAAAGAGAGAGACATTTTTTTCCATTATCTACTCAGTCTTTAGAAGGATCTTGACCTTATTTTGAAAAGCAGTTCCTGTCTTTTTTATGTCTGTATCCACAAAACACAAAGTTTGTCCCAATATTTCACATTAAAGGATGATTTTTAAATGTCAGACGGGTATAAAAAGGCATGGCAACGCTTCACAAAACAGATAATTCAGGCTCAATAATCCATCAGGATGTAAGCTACTGAGCAGCATTTTAAGATTCTAATTATGGTACAGCCCATGCCATGTAATTGTATTTGACACTGAATACGAACTTCACAATGTGCAGGCCTCATGTCAATCTCACTGCAGGCTATAATCAGGAGGTGAATCTGATGACTCAACCCAGTCTGTATTCATTTGTTCAGTGCCATAGCACAAAATCCCCACCCACCATCCTGTAATAGAATAAAGCTTTTTGTCTGCATGTGTCACTTGAGACATAGTAAAGACAGGGAGACAGCTGATTAATGATTCTATTGATGACATTTGACAGATGAATTGTCTATTTTTGAACAATATACAGTGTTTTGTGATGCAGATGGTACGTTAATATACTGTACACTGATCAGCCACTGCATTAAAACCACTGACAGGTAAAGTGAATAACACTGGTGCAATGTTCTGCTGGGAAACCTTGAGTCCTGGCCTTTGTGTGGATGCCACTTCACATGTTCCACCTAAACACTCTTGCAGACCAAGTACACCCGCTCATGGCAACGACTCCCAAGCTTCATTAGCAGGGCAATGCGCCATGCCACACCACAAAAACTGCTCCGTGTTACCTCTCTCAGTGGCAGCTTACTGGCTCCGAACCGTAGTTGGGAACATGCTGGCTTAGTAACATTAATTTTAGCTTGGCTCATATTAGCTGGTAACCATAGCTTCTAGTAGGCCAGACCACTCTGTAGAAGGAAGGAAGGAAACAAGAAACCTGCCTTCTCATGAGGTTGAACAGTAGCCCTGAGCTTATCTAGATACTTAATTCTACTGCTATCATCACTCTTTGCCACCTGCTTACTTCACCATGACACCCCCGAGAGAGCTGCTTCCCTACACACACACACTGAAGCACACCCTCACAGGTTACCCACAAGGCCACCACCCTTAAAGGGGAAAAAAAAAAGGTGAGCCGGTAACATCAGGAATAGCTCAAGGAAAGTGACAAGTGTGGACCTGGCCTCCATATTCCCATGACAATCTGATCAAGCATCCAGGACTCAGTGTATCCACTGCCAACATCCTGGTGCCAGACACAACAGAATCAACAAGTCAGAGCCAAGGCAGATCCAAGAAGGTCCCACCAAGGGTACTGGATGCTCAATCAGACTGTGATCTCTGGACTTTGGAGGCCAGATTGATGCCTTGACCTCTTTGTCATGTTCCTAGGGCCATTCCTGAGCTGTTTTTGTGGTGTGGCGTGGCACATTGTCCACTGCCGTCAGGGAGTACCGTTAGCATAGGAGGGTGTACTTGGTCTGCAACAGTGTTTGGGTGGGTGATACATTTAAGTGGCATCCACATGAATGCCACGACCCAAGGTTTCCTAGCAGAACATTGCATTGTAACAAGATGATCAATATTATTCACTTTACCTGTCAATGGTTTTAATGTTTTTGTTGGTCAAGGTATATTCAGAGGAAAACTAAGGATTGGTGTATACCTGTGCTGATGAATGGCTGAAAACATATCCTCAATGAATAAATGTTGCAGACATTTGTAGAGTTTTTAGTTTTTTCTCATTATTGCTTGTTTTGTGAAATATTGGATACTTTTCCCTCTTTGGGCCTCATGCTGTCATTGAAATGAAACCCTCTGGGAAGTTGAGAGGGGAAATCACTCTTTGCTGGAAGTGCTAACAAATCAGAGACACCAAAACATGCAGCCCAGTCGCCAAAAGAAAATGTTGGCATTGTGCATTTCTGCAAACCACAGATATGTTACATTTGTAGTTTTCATAGGTATCATATCAACATTTCCAAAGTAACAGAGTTTTGATCACATGTATATGAGCTGAAGGGATGATGGATGGCGTGACACCAAGGCAAGATAGCTGCCAAATTGCAGACCACTGTTTGAGACCAAC